CCTAAAGAATTGGAATCTCATGAGGACCCTTCAACCACACGTCCCCCGAGTCGGCTCGCGAAGTGTCGCAGTTGCAGCTAAAGGCTGGGATTCTACGTGTAGGGTCTCCGGCTGTCGTGGGTGGGCCTAAGGCGCCTGAGGCATTTGGGTGAACCTTCTCAGAAACGTCCAGCTCAACTCGACACCCTTCGTGCGTTTGGTTAACATTTATGATGTTGATCCCCATCGTCGGTTCTTCTGTCCATATCATGCTCTTCTTCTCCACTAGCTGTACAAGTTCGCGCTTCTTGATGATCATCACGATGATTCGTATCATGAGCTGTCCTCCGTATCTTCTTTTATTTATGATTAATTTCATCTGAAGATCTATTTCCCACATGATGACGATTAGCTACAAAACGGATCCGAAATTGTCCAAATTAGGGGGGCTCCCTGCCCCTGCACACCCCCAAAGCCGGCTGGCAGAACAAGTTCTGTGTATTGAAGCGAAGGGCTCTTCTTGGGAACAGCTTTCGTGACAATGTCACAAGACTTCTGTAGTACACCGCAGTGCCTGCGCTATGACTTGGCGTTGGATGTGGGCGAGCCCAGTGCATGCACAACTTCAAGGCTTCACGCTCTGGGCCATGGCCGATGGCCCAGTGCTGAATTGGGATCGACGGCGCAGGGAATGCTCTTGAGCTTCATGGTGCTGCTCATGATCATGTTTCACTCTTCTCGAAGAGCTTCTTCCGCTTCGATGGTTCAGCCAGATGTGGTACACGAAGTTGTTCAGCTTCAGGTGCGAAGTTGCCAGAAGTCTCCGACGACTTCTATTGCCCGGGTATGCTGCTCGATTTCCGCTACTTCCATCAGTGCTGCTGCAACTTTCGCTTCTATCTGGAGAAAGCTTGTGGGCAGTAATGAGCACTTGACAGCCGCTCCTTGCAAATGGTCTCGAGCCAAGTACTTCATGATAGTAATATTATCATTGCTGGGATTATCAAAATGGTCAGTGTTGCTGTCATTACTCACAGATGGGTTCCGACACCCATGGTTCAAGATAGAGCCCAAGATCTGACAGACGTGAATTCACCTTGATGGTTTGCATGTTGGTGACCTAAATGCCGTCGCATGGCTCTGTATGGATCTGCATGCTGTCTTTGCAGGTCACCGATGCCTAGATACTGGAAAGAAAGATTTAACCCAGGTTTGTATCCAGTTTTTCAGTCGGCCAAGAACAAAAAAAGCAGCGTGTAGTCAACACCAGCTCTTTCAAATTTATGTGGGAATTAGAGAACAGGAATGTCCAGCTTTTTTGGTTTTTGGAGGGGTGCTCAAACCCAACGTTTCCCTCCGAACGGATTCGAACTTTGAGTTTGAACACCAAAGTTGAACTTAATCCGAGTCCAAGCCGTGCCCGTCAAATGGATTCGAGATAAGACCAACATAGGTTTTTGGGGGGTGTTCGAACCCAAGGTTTGGAACTTAGAGTTCCGAACCCAGGGTTCTGGAACTCCGAACCAAGAGTTCGGAGCCTCGAACCCAGGGTTCGAACATCGAAGTTCCCTCCGAACCCTGGGTTTGAGTTGAACTCCAAGTTGAACTCAACTCCGAACTTCTTGAAATGGAGTTGAACCTGGAGTTGAACTCTGAAAGGCGAAGAGTTTGAACCCAGGGTTTGAACATAGAGTTTCCGAACCCAGCGTTCGAACTCTGGCGGTCCTAAAGAGTTGAAACCCAGGTTTCGAACATTGAGTTTCCGAACCCAGAGTTCGAACATGGAGTTTCCGAACCCAGAGTTCGAACTCTTGTCTCATTGCTTCTTGTTCTCTCATTTTATTTTTTCGCAAAAACTCCATTAGCGATTTCGTGTGTCTTGCGGTTGAGTTTGTGGTTTCTGTCATTGTAGTGTGCTCTCAGTAATTTTGTTCGCAAAACCACCCGCAAAGCGATTCTGTGTGGCTTCTTCTCCTTTTGTTTGGTGATTGTTGGTGTTCGAACCCCGTTCGAACTCTGGGGGGGAGTCCAGAACCCGGGGTTGGGCGGTTCATTTGTTCGCGCCTTTAGCATTCTCGTAGGAGACTCATGTCCTTCTGAAGCCCCCTTGAGAAGAAAGACTCTTCGTCATTGACAATCTTTTTCTTTGTTTTGTCTTTCTTTGATTTCTTCGCAAAAACCACCATAAAGCGGTTTCGTGTGGCTTCTTCTTCTTTTGTGGCAGGGACTGGTCATTGGTAGTCTTTTTCTTTGTTTTCGGCAAGCTTCTAAAAACAGCGGGGGGGTTGGAGGGGGCGCAGCCCCCCCCCAAACGTGGAGTTCCCGAACCCAGGGTTCGAACGCCCCGGGGGGGACGAATTCCAGAACCCGAGGTTCCAACATAGAGTTCCCCAAACCCCGGGTTCCAATCGGACTCTCTAAGAAAGGGGGAGCGAACCCGGGGTTTCGAACGTGGAGTTCTCCAAACCCCGGGTTCGAACATAGAGTTCCCGAACCCAGGGTTCGAACATAGAGTTCCCGAACCCCGGGTTCGAACATAGAGTTCCCGAACCCAGGGTTTGAACACAGAGTTCAAACTCCAGGTTCAACCTGCGTTCGAGAAGTTCGAACCCAGGGTTCAACCCTGAGTTCCGAAGTGATATGTTCTCCCCCCCCCCCCCCCCCCCCACACCCCCCGGGAGTTCGAACCCTGGGTTCCGGAACACTCCAAAAACCTATGCTCGATAAGACTAGGTAGTAGTTGAAAAGAGAAATAGGCGTACATAATGAAAACACAAAAAACGACAATAATAATGGTGTCAGGATGTGTTTTAGTCATTGAGAAATTTATTACGGACTTAAGGATTTCAACCCGGCAGCTGTTGTGCAGGTTTTGATGGAGTACACTAGTACCTCGTGCAGAAGAAGAACAGAACTAGTGGAAAAAATAACATGAATTGGTCCGTTCACTGTCAGTTGCGTAACTCTTCGAGTCTTTTCCTTCAACTCAAAGCTTCACCCACGCGACTGTTCCTGGGGAGGCAGTGTTCCGCACCCAGTTCGGACTCTCTGCAAAAAGGGAGAGTTCCCCAATCTGGAGTTCGAACATGGAGTTCTTCAAAACCAGGTTCGAACATGGAGTTTTCGAACCCTGAGTTCGTTCCCGAACCCATGCTCAAGCTCAAGCTTTTTGTTTCCTTCTCCTTAGAAAAGCATTGCCAGTTGAAGGTGCAAGGTTTGTTGATTGGGTCAAAGCGACACTTCAGCAGACTTATAACTTTCGAAGAAGTTCTTTGCTTTGAAATGCGACCTTGATCTGGAGAGACTGACTTCGGAAACTTCTAAGAGCAGAGTTCGAACTCTGGGTTCGGCAACTGTCCGAACCCGCGGTTTGGAGAACTCTATGTTGGAACCTCGGATTCAAGAAGTCGGTTCGAACTCTGTGTTCCGAAACTCCACGTTTGGGACCCTCTGGAGCAGGAAGGTGGTCGTCGTGGCTACCCGGGACTTCTCCTCAAAGCGGCGCTGGGACTGTGCCTTCTCCAATTCTCTGCTGTCTTAGAAGCTTACCGAAAGAAGAAAAAGCTGCCTGAAATACAGGTTCTAGCCAGGTTTGGAACCCAGGTTCAATGAACCCGGTTAATCTAGAAAAAAAACCGTCAGTTTCCAACCAGGTTTAAGATTCTAACCCAGATTTGGAATCTAGGTTAAAACCCGGGTTTGAATCCAGGTTAATGTAGATTTGGAACCCGGGTTTCAAAAAACCCAGGTGTTTTAACCCAGGTTTAAATCCAGATTTGGAATCCAGGTTCTAAAAAACCCAAGCCAGGTTTGAAACTCTTTTCACGTTAGATTTGAAACTCGGGTTTAAAAACCCAGGTTTAAAGTTGAACTAGAGTTTCAACCCAGAGTTTGAACATAGAGTGGGAACCTAGAGTTCGAATATAGAGTTTCCAAACCCAGGAGTTTCAAGCCAGAGTTCGAATACAGAGTTCCCGAACCCAGAGTTCGAACGTTGAGTTTCTAAACCCAGGATTCGAAGTCCCCTAAAGAGTTTAAACCCATGTTTCGAACATAGAGTTTCCGAACCCAGTTCGAACTCTTGTATCATTGCTTCTTGTTCTCTTCTTTTATTTCTTCGCACAACCTTATTAAGCGATTTCGTGTGGCTTCTTCTTCTTTTGTTTGTGCTTGCGTTTGAGTTGTGGTTTCTGTCATCGTAGTGTGCTCTCAGTCAATTTCTTCGCAAAACCCTCCACAAAGCGATTCTGTGTGGCTTCTTCTTCTTTTGTTTGGTGATTGTTGGTGTTCGAACCCCGTTCGAACTTTGGGAGTCTAGAACTCGAGGTTGGGCGGTTCATTTGTTCGTGGCTTTAGCATTCTCGTAGGAGACTTCATGCCCCTTCTGAAGCCCCCTTGAGAAGAAAGACTCCTCATTGACAATTGTCTTTCTTTGATTTCTTCGAAAAACCACCATAAAGCGGTTTCGTGTGGCTTCCTGCTTCTTTTGTGGCAGGGACTGGTCACTGGCAGACTTTTCTTTGTTTTCGGAAAGCTTCTAAAAACAGCGGAGGAGTTGGGAGGGGGTGCAGCCCCCCCAAACGTGGAGTTTCCGAACCCAGGGTTTGGAGGCGACGACTTCCCAGAACCCGAGACATAGAGTTCCCCAAGTATAGAGTTCCCGAATCCAGAGTTCGAACTCCCTGGAAGACCAGAAGGGAGTTCCGAACCCAGGATTACCAGGGTTTCGAACATGGAGTTCTCCAAACCCCGGGTTCGAACACAGAGCATAGAGTTTCCGAACCCCGAGTTCGAACATAGAGTGCACAAGCACAGTGACGGGTCCTCGACCCAGTCCGCGCTCTAGGAGCGCTCGAGTGCTTGAAAGTTTCGACTTTTAGGACTAGGACTTCACTTCCGCAGTCCCGCCTCCGCCTTTGGCAGTGTGGCATCACAGCTTTACTTCACAACTTTCTTCACGGTTTCGGTGTCCTAGCTGGTGTTCCCTCCCATTTACAGTGCCCGCCATGGCCGACGTAGCCATGGCCAAGAAAGAGGAGCAGGAGTCCCAGGAAGCTCCCGCGCTGGAGCGACGGAGGTGCCCAGCGCAGGCCACCGGGCCAACGGCGCCCAGGCGCGACGAGATTGCCCAGGATGAGCTGGCACAGTTTCGAGAATGGCAAAAGCAGAGGGCAGAGGCAAAGGCCCACGCCGCGCCGACCTCGCCGCCAAAGAAGCAGAGGACCGATGATGAGGAAGACATGGTTGAATTTGAGGTGAAGCTCGTGGACCTTGACATCAACTTTGCAGACCTGGACCCAGAACTGCAGAACAAGCTCCGGAGCAGCAAGAGCTCCCGCCGAGATTTTCTGGCTATTCACACAACAGACAGACTTTATAATCCTACAGATGGCACATGGTCGGAGCAGCCTACCACGAAGAAGAGAGATTTTGGAAGCATTACTGAAAGAGCCATGCCAAACTTGACGGCAGAGGACAACGTGCAGCAGGCCATGCTGCAGTACCACCAGAAGAGCATCCTTCCATCCCTGGACCAGTTGCAGATGTGCTGCGATCAATTTTACAAGATGGCACAACATGAGTTTGCGATGACACAGTACACCCTGGACAGACATTCCAGCCAACTGCAGGTGCTGGAGCGTTCCAAGGCCAACAAAACCACACTTTTGCTGGATTTACCGCCAATTTTCAACAAGAAGACTCTGGACGCAAATGTTGGGTATTATCTGCAAGCCGCTGGCCTCCAATGGGACCAGGTGGCGGCAATGCACAATCACATGGTTTCCTCCGCCTCTTCACTTGTTCGCCTGGAATTTCTCACTGAACAGCAAGCTGCCCAGTTTAGGGACCAGATGAGACAAGGTCGCCGTTACTGGCGCGACCCCCAGCAGCAAGACCACAAGATCAGGATTGAGCAGGATCAGCCCTTGGAAGACAGATTGGCTATGCAACCGTATTATGCTTTACTTGACGTCCTCGCCAAGCTCTATGTGGAAGAAACTGGAGAAGACACGCATGCCTCCCTACAGACCTGGAGGCAGACGCTGCAGATCTGGACCCCTAAGGGGGTGGAGCCCAAGCAAGGAGGCCGTCAGTGCGAGCGCTGATAGTCCCTTAATTTCTTGAGCGTGAATTTTCTTGAAAAATCGGGCCTGGATTTTTAAAGAAAATGGCTGCCAAAAGTTTTCTGTAGTGTGAGCGCCAAGTGTTGCTATATTGCATCTTCTTGTCACCCGCGCTCGTCATCTCAAGGCATCTCAAAGCCGGTTTTGCATAAACGTCAGTGACACTATGCTGGACTTCACTGAACAAGCCACAAGTCTTGCACATGTAAGGTTGCAGAAATTTTTCTTTCGCCGGGTCGTCCCATGGACTTCGGCGACGCCCTCGCCGCCGGTTCTTCAGGCCGTTCCGAGGACAGCTCTACCAGCACCCGCGAGCTCCATAGTCAGCACATTTACGAACTCCAATTGGAGGTCAACGCCCTCCGTGCTGAAATCCAAACTCTCAGGTCCGCATTGCAAGCTTTGGAAGAGTCCCTTGCTCGTGCCTGGGTGAACCAGACCGGCCACCACCAACGTCTCTCGTGGCTCGAAGGGATCATTCAGAGCTTGAGGGCTGCCTGTCGGGTATTTCTTGAGCCTGGCGTGCAGTCTGCCTCAGATTAGGCCATGAATACCTTTAGTGCCAGCATATTGCAGCAACTTGCTGGTGTCACCCGCGAGCAGCTCGACGGTGCCTTGCCTCCGGCGCAGGCCACTGTTGGGCCCCCTGAGCTTCCCTTTGCACCCGTGCTCGATCTTGGGGATGCCTTTCCTGCAAATCCCTCTCCTGCATCTGCTTCTGCGGATAACTGGGGGTTTGTAGGATTTACTGGTGACTTCGAAGGGTTTACCGATGACTTCACAGCGCCTGTCTCTGAAGTCGAAGTCCAGCAGCAAACTCACGAGTTTCTCCCGTAGGGTTTAACCCCAATCACTTCGAGGCCCATTTAGCATCCCTCTGCGAGCCAGATGAGCAAGCCCCTTCCCTCTCCCTTTTAGGGTCGGGAGATGAAAACACCGCTTGGTATGAAGATGTTAGGGCCATGAGTGAGTCACATTTTTCATTGGTGCCAAGTGCCAGCAAAAGAGACTTTGGAGAAGAAGTCCGTCCTGGTAGGATTGCTCGTGCTGTGGGCGATGAGCGCTCACGTACTGCCGTGGCATCTCCTGCCCTGCCTTGGGAGAGAGGAGTCTTCAGAGCCATCTTTGGGGATGAGGGCTTAACTAATCCCTTTGATAACCTTGTGCTTAAGATGCCTGGCCCCTTAGTCCCAGCACATGTGCCGCCGGCGGAGCCAAAGATCCCTGAGCTTCCCATACCTTCAGCTGACATCGCGAGCAGGGCATTCAAATCCTTCAAGGATGTACATCCGAGCGACGAGCGTGATATGGTCATGGACCGAGCGGTGTGCAAACTGCAGCACATCATTTGCCGCACCGATGTTGACCGTTTGTCACCTGAACTTGCACAAGCAGCCTCTTCCAAAGATGCAACAGACGAAGTGTTTGGCATCGTGTCAGCTTGTGTAGGTCTTCGTAGTCCTCACACGGTTGTGAAGCGCGCCAACGCGATCCTTGCATACTTGAGATGGTGTGACAAGGAAGGTTACGAGAAGCCATTTTGTGAGGATTCTGTGTGGAGCTTCATTTCTTACTTAAAGAAAGAGAAGGCAGCTCCGACCCGTGCCCCGTGCAGCCTCCCTCATTTCAGCTTTGCGCTTTGCGAACTTCGTTCTGGGGCTGAGTGTGTCCGAGGTTCTTGCGAGCCGTAGGATTCTGGGCCTCAGTGCCCAGCTGGGTGTCAAAAAGAAAGCGACCAACCGAGCCCGGCCTCTCAAGGTGTCAGAGGTTCGCTTCATGCATGGCGTGCTAGAGGACGAGAGTGCACCAATCTGGGACCGAGCCATCTGTGCCTACCTTCTTCTTGCACTCTACGCAAGAGCCAGACACAGCGATTTGGTTCTTGTAGAAGAAGTGATAGCAGACTTTGATCGCCAGTGCAGCGGATACCTAGAGATCCGCCTCAGATTCCATAAGACGGCACAAACCATTGCAAAGAAAAATGATTTGTTGCCGGTTATAGTTTCAAGCAAGGGCATCGTGAAAGGCGACTGGCTGGGGTTGGCTACTGATGTATTTGAGCGCGTGGGCCTCACCTTGGATGGGACTGTCGGTGCGGGCCTCTTCAGGCCATTTAGGCCCGGTGATGCTGCCCCAGGTCGACGAAGCCTAAGGTCGTCGGAGTGCACAACCATGTTGAAAATGGTCCTTGAGCGGGCTGGGTCAGATGTGTCAATGGTCACATCTCACTCGTTGAAGAGAACCCTGCTTGATTGGGGCTCCAAGTTTTGTCTTGATGACGGGATTTTGGCTTTGTTTGGGCGTCACAGTAAGTGTGTCAAAGGAAGCGTGCCCGTCTATGCTAAGGAGGAAGCCTTGAAAGCTGTTAGGGCTCTTGAGCCTATGTGCCAAGCAGTGGCAGCAGGATCGTTCCACCCAGATGCTGCCCGAGCCTTGTACTTTACAGATCCCCCAGCGCCAACTGTGGTGCCACAAGCGCCCGAGCTCAGGGCGGCTGTCAAGGCGAAGGTTGAAATCATCAATGATTCAGCGTCCGAGCGGGCTGAGTCCGAGGGGCAGCACTCTTCAAGTGGCAGCGAAAGCAGCGATTCCGAGTCACAAGACGACTCCGACTCGTCGTCCGAGTCAATTGCGCCGATCAAAGCGCCCCGCCTGGAAATCGAGCAGTGGGATGCCGCTGACTGTGCGGCCAATTCCAGGACCAGGACCCTTCACCTCTTGAAATTTGTGTCTGGAGGTGGAAATCTAATCGCCACGTGCGGAAGGACCTCAGAGGTCATGGTTCAAGCGGCGCAAGCACATATGAGTTTCCGGAGGTGCCGCGCTTGTGTGCGGATTGGGAAGCGCTGAAGGCTAGATGCCGACTTTCCGCCTTTTTGGCGAAGGGCGAAGTGCCAGGACCTAGAAGGTCTTTGATTGCGATTCGAGTCCAGTTAAAGAGTGATCGTCTGCATTGGGACATGTTGTTGCCAGGGACAGTGAAGCGCGGCAGTGTGCCGAATTAGACTCCGCTTGACTTGCATTTTTGTGAGTGCAGTGCGAACATTTGAGTTCTGCAGTATTGGCCGAGGATAAAACATGTTTTGATCATGCATGAAGTTCATGTTGTGTTCTTCTCGCTTTATCTTAGATCGAATGATGCTTTAACTACTTTCAGCTGCTGTTCAGGTACCTCGGAGTTTTGACGTGCACAGTGGACTGTCCGAAGCTCCTTTTGCTCGCCATGTCCTCGTTAATCGATAGCGGTGCACACTTTAAAAGGCGTGCGGATGAGGTCGGCCTCAGCAGTGCCGGGTGGACGATCCTTCAGGCCCTTGGCATTACCTCTGTAGGTAAGGCGGCGTACACCATCACGTCGCCAGGTGAGCCAGTCACGGAACCCATATTCCGAGATTGGGTTGCCGACAATGCTGCAGGTATGACTCTGGGTGATCAGTCATGCTTGAAAAGGCTCGTGTTCGAGTCCCAGACTCTGGTCGTTGCTGAGTTGCGCGACCAAGTATCCGGGTCTCAATCATCTGCCCCTCGTCGTGTTCCCGAGGCTGAGCGCGACCGAAGACTGAACGATCTTAGGGCGGCCCTCCCAGGCATCACGCTGGAGGGCGTGAACATGCCAAGCAATGCCCTGTTGGATTCATGTTGTCAGCAAGAGCGAGACAACTTGCTTAAGTACATCCCGCCTGAGAAGGCCACGAGCCGCACCCATGAACTCACGAATCCCAGACCGACCCATCAGGCGCTGCAGGTCGAAGCATCCAAGATAGTTCTCAAGAGTGACGCTGATGCCGTTGAGTATCAACCGGTCAATGCGCTCCAGACCATGGAGGCCCTTCGGCGACGAGGTTTGGCCATGGTGTTTGCACAGATGATTTCATATGATGCCTACGATCGGTATGTGAATCATCTCTTTAACCACCTGTCCCGAGACCCGCCGCCAGGGCTCAATCGCGTGAATGTGACACAATTGGTTAACGCTGACAAGCAGGTGTTTGCACTGCTGGCCGAATGGGGTGTCAAACCAAGGAGGGATACCGCAGGCGAGTATCCCCTTGACCGAGAGATGCACCGCGCTTTGGAATCCTACGAGGTGTCCATTGCCCTCATGCACCAGGCTCCCCAAGGCAAGTTCCCGTTCAAGAATAACCGCAAGCGTCATCCCTCTCGGCCTTCAACCCCCGATCCTCCTACGAAGCTCCCTAAAGGCAAAGGCCGAGGCAAAGGTGCCAAAGGTGGTCCTGCGATGCCCAAGGAGCTTGTTGACCTGAAGGCAAATGCCACCACACCTGAGGGTAAGAGCATCTGTTATGCGTTCAACTTGAAGGAGTGCAAGCGCACTGACTGCCCTCATCAGCATGTCTGTGCCAGGTGTTTCCAGCCGCACTCGATCCGCAAGTGTGCTGCCGCCGGCGCTTGAGCGCCTTCGATCCCCTCTGAAGCAGTTTTGCATCGTGATTCACTCTTGTCTGAGCCTGCCTCGTCTCTTGTCGCAACTGGAGACCTGGCTGATGCATGCAATCCCATATCCCCTCCTTGTGAACAGCACGCCCAAACCTTGCTTTCCCGCGGTGCCTTGTGTGCTGAGGATGTGTTGGGCTTGGTCTCTTTTCTGCAACCCGAATCACCTCGCTTCCCTGGTGAGTTTAGTTGGGCCACTGGAGCCTATGTGCATGGCGGCATAGTCGGCCTCCGACACAACCTCAATCATTTTCCACTTTCGTCTAAAGTCTTGGCGAGCTTTGTTTCGAATACATTCCCACAATTGGAGTTTACCTCCATCGTGGTTTTAGTTAACACCCTCACCCCTGCGCACCAAGATCTCAACAATCATTTGGGTTTCCCCAATGCTTTGATTCCGCTTAGTAAGTTTGAGGCCGGTGGCCTTTGGATCGAGGGAGCTGGTGAGGAGGTTTGTCCTGACCCAGGGCATCCCGATGCCAAGGGCCATGTTCTGCAACTGCATGAGCCGATCCAGTTCGATGCGCACCGGCTGCATGCGACATGCCCGTGGACAGGAAATCGCACTGTGCTAGCAGCTTTCGTAATCAATGATTTCCACAAGTTGGATGCTCAGCACCGCCAGCTTCTTCAGCACACTGCCTTTCGCTTGCCAAGCCTGTCTACTGGCGAGCTCCTGCCTTTGCGCCCAAGCATCGCTTCACGGTTCCCAGTGGTCCTTGAAATTTTTGCGGGTACAGCTCGTGTGACCGCAGCCTTGCGTCGCTGTGGCTTTGTCGGGGCCCAAGGTGTTGATCACGTGGTCGTGGATCATGCTGCCTGTCCTGTGCTGTTGGCCGATCTGACTACGCAAGAGGGCCAGCGTTTGACAATGATGTGGCTTTCCAGCCCTCATGTTGTCGGTGTCTTCATCGCTCCACCGTGTGGCACCAGCTCTCGCGCCCGGGAGATTGCACTCCCTGGGCCTTCTCCCGCCCCGCTGCGATCACTCACTTTTCCCGACGGGCTGCCCCATCTGTCTGGTCTCAACCTGGTGCGCGTCAACAGGGTTAATCAGCTGTACCACTTTACGACTACCATCTGTGCTGAGGCCCATCACCGCAACCTCATCATTGCCGTGGAAAATCCGCGGAGTAGTCTCTACTGGTCCACCAGCTTCTGGGCTGCTGCGGCCTCCTTTTGTCCTATGCATACTGATTTTCAACACTGTGCCTTTGGCGGTCGCCGGCCCAAGTGGACTCGCCTTTGCCACAACCACCAAGCCTTCCATGCTTTGCATCGCGTCTGTCCCGGCGGTGCCTGTGCTGCCCAACATTTGCCGTGGGGTCGTTCTGAAGACGGCTCCTTTGCCACCGCCAGTGAAAGCGCTTACCCGCCGCAGCTAGCCACCGCCATCGCTCAGTGCTTCGCTCGAGCAGTTACTTTTCTGCCTGAGGCCGAGCCCTCCCTTGCAGCCATGAGGGCCACTTCCGGCCTTCAGCCCAAGGCTTCTGCTGTGCCGCCTCTTGTCCCCGAGCACAAAGCTGTGCTTGTGATGACCGGCCCAAGTGATGCCACTTCCTTGCCGACCCTTCGCGCCCGACTGCCCGAGCCGTGGTCTGACTCGCGCTTCGCGCCTGCTGGGCCCGTGCCAGCCCACAGTCAATTACTCCGAGCGGATAATAAGGGAAGTGATCGACTTGAATTGGCTTGGGGCATATCTTGGTCTCCAGAAGAGTTCATACATAAAGCGGTTCAAGCGGGACATCCCAAAAAGTTTGACTCGCTACTGCCTTCCGCACTGAGCCACAGCATAGACGTAAATGCAAAAACAACGCCGGCCGATAGAGCCGGCCTCAGAGCCGAATGGTTTGCAAAGTGGACCAAACGTGCAGCTGAACTTTCGGGGGACGAAAAGAAGCTCAAGAGCTCTCTCCCCGAGTACGCCAGGAAGATCGTCCTACCAAAAAGGATTTTATTGTGGCGTGAGATTCTAGAGGATCTCAAATATCCTGACGTTGGAGTGCTGGACGAAATGCTTGAAGGAGTGCACTTGACAGGTCAGACCCCTTGCACAGGGGTCTTTCCTGGGGCCTTTAAGCCAGCAAAAAGGACTTCGGAACAGCTGCGCTCCAAAGCTAGTGAGTCCCGCCAGAAGATCATCGATGCGATCAAATCGCAGGGTCACCTGGATGAAGCGCTAGAGCAAAAGGTCGACGAAGAAGTGGAACTCGGCTGGCTGTCCGAGCCGATAGACCCGGCCGATTTGCCGGAAGACGCCACAATCAGCAGGAGGTTTGCGATCGAGCAGTCAGGTAAGATTCGCTTGATAGACGACCTGAGTGATAGTGGTGTTAATGGGTCTGTCCAAACCACCGAGAGCCCCAAACCTCAATCCCTCGATGTGGTGGCCGCCATGGCCTTGGCCTGTCTTAGACAGCTGCCTGGGACTCCCATGCTAGGGAAGACGTTCGACTTAAAGAGCGCACACAGGCAAATGTTTGTGTCTCCGGACGACCTCAAGGAAGCTTACATTGCATACTTCAGCCACCGCGAACGCAAAGTGATCGCAAGGCAAATGCTTGCGCTCCCATTTGGGGCGACCAGAGCGGTGTTCTCGTATTTGAGAGTGGCGCACTCTATGTGGTACATTGGGTGCTGGGCACTGAAGTTGATTTGGTCACATTTCTTCGACGACTTTCTGAGTCTTGCGACTCAGCTCGAGGCCAAAGCAGTTGACCTGGCAATATCATCATTGTTCAGGTTGCTAGGGTGGAAAGTCTCGGAGGACAAAGACAAGCCCTTTGCTGAGAGTTTTGCTGCGCTTGGGGTACGGGTTAGCTTTGAACGATTTTTGCAAGGGGAAGTCCTGTTCCATAATACGGACAAGCGCATCTTGGAGGTTTCGGCCACGCTGCGCCATGCAGCTGATGATCCAGCTCTCACCCAGAAGGACCTGTCGCGCATTCGGGGTCGCATGGTCTTCGCAGGGGGCCAGCTCTTCGGAAGAGCCGGCCGGCTATGCGTGGCCGCCCTAGCTGGTGAAGGTTGCTCGACCAAGGCAAACCTTAGCAACGACGCAAAGCAAGCCATGCTTCAGTTTGCCGACCTGCTTGAAGCCAATTGGCCACGCGTGCTGAGAGATGTGTCGGCAGATCCAGTGTATATCTTCACTGATGCCTCGTATTCCGAGGTGAGTGGAGGTACTTTCTGCGGCATAGGCGGAGTCTGCTTTGACCACAAAGGTCATCCCCTTGGATTTTTCTCTGAAGAATTGTCCTGTTTCCAGAAGCGTCTACTAGGAGAGGGCAGGTCCAAGACCATCATCTTCGAGGCGGAACTTGCAACAATCGTGATCGCTTATGTCTTATGGAAAGATTGGCTTAGGGGAAAACCTGCTGTGATTTTTGTGGACAATAACTCCGCTAGAGACGTGTCAATCAGTGGCACATCACGGAATGATGTAGGCAAATCGCTTGCATCACTTCTTTTAACAGTGGAATCCTTAGCCAAAACTTTTTCGTGGTTCGCTCGTGTTCCGTCACCAGCGAACATCGCAGACACGCCTTCGCGTGAAGTGCTGAAAAGCTTCACCGTGTCAGGCTGCCCCGTCCCTCACTTCCCGTGCGAGGACATCGTGTCCGAAGTCTTGGGCATCTTAGTCGAGTAATACAACGGTTAAGAAGGGGAGAATTCTTGATTTCGGTTTACACATCCTTTTGCAGGCGATGTTTGTTCCGCCAGGCGATGACGTTCCGCCATCCGTAGCTGCAGGTTTGAGGCCAAATGCCTCATTGCACCAAGGTACCCCTTGTCACCGCTGGTGAAAAACGACAGAAGCTTTCAGGAGTGCTGTGTGTGTCGTGTCTCTCTTGAGTGTGAGCGTCGCAAGCCAAGCCACTAAGCCTTCAAGTGCGATCCCTAATTCGGCAGCCGTTTATGCTCAAGATATTAAGGAGGCCGTCAGTGCGAGCGCTGATAGTCCCTTAATTTCTTGAGCGTGAATTTTCTTGAAAAATCGGGCCTGGATTTTTAAAGAAAATGGCTGCCAAAAGTTTTCTGTAGTGTGAGCGCCAAGTGTTGCTATATTGCATCTTCTTGTCACCCGCGCTCGTCATCTCAAGGCATCTCAAAGCCGGTTTTGCATAAACGTCAGTGACACTATGCTGGACTTCACTGAACAAGCCACAGTCTTGCACATGTAAGGTTGCAGAAATTTTTCTTTCCCCGCCCACCCACACCAATTGCATCTCAGACCTTGCGGCGAGTGACGCCCCTGCAGCCGAGTGCCGCATGCGTGAATCCAATCCCTTTGCACACCCCAGCCGATCCGGTCAGCGCGACCGCGCGTGCTTCGCTCATAATGCGTTCTCGGGGAGAATTCTTGATTTCGGTTTACACATCCTTTTGCAGGCGATGTTTGTTCCGCCAGGCGATGACGTTCCGCCATCCGTAGCTGCAGGTTTGAGGCTAAATGCCTCATTGCACCAAGGTACCCCTGGGCAGGTGAGCTACGTGCTTGATCCGCGCTTTGCGCGCCGCTATTCATTCTTGCTTTTGGTACATGACAGATTCTACGACGCGGCCCTGACAAGATGGCATGCAAAATTTTCGCGGAGACTTCGGGATACCTTATTTCTGGCACAGGCGCTCAAGCGCGCCACTTCTGACCGCACGACTGTGCAACGCGCTTCCTACGACAAGGCCTTCGACCTCACTACTGCCTCCCACGCGCAGGCTTTTCCTTACACGGTGATGCCGGTACGCATTTCGGATGATCTGGCTTCTATGCTTGAGTCTCACCCCATGTTGCCTTTTCAAGGCGCTGGCGGCATGACCGCCTTGACGGCCCAGGCTTTCTTAGATCAGGGTTTTGAGGATTACGGCAAAGGCTCCCCTAGGGCTAAGGGAGCCGGAAAAGGTAAGCCCCAAACCAAATCCCGAAACGATCGCCAGGACCAATGGACTCCCCATATGGGCAAAGGCAGCAGTCACCGATCTTCTTACCAAGGATGGTCCCAGAAATCCGGATGGTCTGACTACAACACATACCAGAAGCCCAAAGATAAAGGCCAGGCCAAGGGCCAATGGAAGGAACGCGACCACGACTCCAGAACCAACTGGAAGAAGGACGACGACCAGGATAACAATGATAGTTGGGGCTCCTGGGGTTCAGGTCCATGGGCCCCCTCCAGAACACCTAAAGGCCTAATTTTCGGAAGCTCGGGCAAAGGCTCCCAACAGCAACAGGCCCAACACAACAAAGGTAAAGGCCACAGTCACATTTTGCCAGTCTTTATTTGCGAGCATTGCTCCTGTTACTGCGTTGATTGCCCTAAGTGTAAGGAACACCCAGTGCCCCCCGGTTTCATGTGGAAAGACACGGTCCCTTGGAAGACTCTCATTTGCCCATGTGCCACCAACGACCAACAACTCTGTGATAAACCCCCTAGGCTTCGCACAGAACTGTAGTTTCTGCCAGGAACATCGTAAGTACTGGTCTTCTAAGCAGGCCCAAGACTCCTGGACCTCCCTTCCCACGGCAACGAAGTGCATGGTATTGCAGCTAGACCGCATCTTGTTTGATCTTGACCCTATCATGCAAGCCCCCGAGGTCACAACCAAATTCATTGCACGAATGAAAGAAACCTACGAAGGTAGGAACTTTAGCTCTTTTTCGCCCCAGCAACACGCCGCCTACTGGGTGGTCAGTGTTTTTGAAGCAGACCTGCCTCCCCCTAAGCCGACGAGACTCCCTTGGAGTAACCCTAGCTGGGCCCTCACAGAGGAACACATCGTTAACATGTGGGGCCCGTTAGACGAACCAGTTCTCCAGGCCACCTTTTACACAGCATCCTGGTTTGCACAGTACTTTAAGGAAGTGTGGAGCAAACACTTTGATGACCTAACGGCGCATTACAACTTGGGAGACTGGGCACGCATAGTCAATGTCTCCCATTCCCCAATGCTCCTCTGGGATAGGCTGATTGCTTCTTCCCTGTGGCTTGCCTATGAACAGGCTAAGCAGGAACAGGAAAACCCCCCAGACCTGGCATGGGACCAACCGTTGCTAGAATGGCTACTACAAGGAGCATGGAAGCGCACCAGCACAGATCTTTTTCAGACCCTCGCTGAGGAATTTGTGTGGTACCTAGACAACGACCCCACCCTCAAAGCCTGCATCCAAGCCACCCCCCCTTTCGATAACAAGGGTGTGGGAACTTCGGCAGGGTTTGGTTCATTGTACTTTGATGCTGTCTTTTCGCAGATAGCCGCGGTGTATGGAGTCCTCAGAGACACAAAGAAGTCCCAACTTCAGGCCCCCAACGATCAGCTAGTCAAACTACTAGAATACATTTTGCCGCTAATGCAGATTAGCACACAGGAGGTACAGGCGGTCCAATGGCGGGCCCACGTCAACAAAGGCAACATCATGGAAACCTTGATGTTAGCATTAGCAGAAGGAGGTGCGCACTTGCTAGCGTGGCGCACAGCATGGGCGATGTTTCAACACCAGCATAAGGACACAAGATATCCTTGGGTACAAGTTGTTTCGGTCTACTGACCTTGGCCTCAGAGCCACCTTTTCAGCAGTCCACAGAGACCCCCACAGCCTTACTTGAAGCCTATTAACGTACACTTCCAACAGGCCCAAATCCACTCAAACTTTCAACCACCCTCTCTCCTCGACCTTATAAGCCAGCCCCCACACCCTCAAAGCAGCGGCGACCTACAGATTACCGTTAGGATAGGTAAGTTGCTCTTAAGGAGCACACAGATTGCCATTATCTCCCAATGGGAGCAACAGATTGCCAATAGGACACTGATTGCCACTACCCCTTCGGGGGAACCAAAGATTGCCAATAGCAAGAGCAACGCTCTTTTACAGCTGTGCCAGAGAAACCAGCCGACGAGTTTTGGGGTGATTCCCCATTTGTGCCAGCCTTTTCTTCCCGTTTGCCCTCGGTTCCCCTTTGCCGTTCAGGTTCAGGGTTCTGAGAGGCAAGGGTCTTCCTTCTCTTCGTCTTGTTTTGCCACGGGCCGTCAAGACGCCGCAACGGACTTCTGGTTCGAGTCGAGAAAAAATCGCAACCGCTTCCTGCATGCTTTGAGGGGTAACCACTGGTGTCGACTTTGTAATTGCTCGCTAGTCGACAGGGAGTTTGCACATTGTCCTGAAATTTTCCATTCAATACCTATTTGTCTCAAGAATGGAATGGCTGTACACAAATACCATTACTGCAGCGCCCACCTCTCTTTATGGTTTTTTAGACGGGGCACTCGCCACTATTCCGTATATTACGGAAACAAGGCACGCAATCTATTTAGTCACATTTGTGCTGCGAGAGCCGCCAGAGGCACGCCGGGGGACCACGGCCGCCCCAAACAATTATTCCGCAACTTTTTTGGCTTACATAATGGCGCTAATCGCCACACCATAGCACAGGCTAGTGGTCACGAATCTCGCTGTGCGTCGGAGGGAAAACGGAATCATCAATGCCTTAGATCCACGAAAGCTATGCTTGCGCGATAATCTAAGTACAATGCCAGCCGCTCTAGTTCCAAACGGGATTATAGACAATGGGTCCGTGACGCGCTGGAGGATGGAAAATTTACCCTGGTCCTTCCCCGGCTCCCTCCGAAAAGGGTAACGAATAGCCCTGCCCAACTCGAAAGAGCCTATGGCAGAGGGAACACAGCGCCAACTCTAGGATCTCGCGCTCATCTTTTTCGATCCTACGTGCAGCCTTCGCTTTTAGATCTACCAACGCGCCTTCTTGGATGGCGCCCTGAACGCAACAGACTACACGCCTGTACTTTTAACATCGAAACACTAATCGGACATGGGAAACAGGAAGCCCTATCGGGCTTCGCGCGACAAAGGAAGGTTGATATCCTGGCATTACAGGAGACGAAGTCCACTTCTTCAGACGAACGTGGAATAGGCGGAGGTAAACTCCTCCTTTCGGGCACGCCCACGGAGCACATGGCAGGGGTGGGCTTTTACATCCCTGCCCACCGCATACCGCTGATATCCGACTTTCTTCCCTTTTCGGGCCGCATAGCGGCCCTGACCCTACGCACACAGCCAATCCCGACTCATCTAGTAACGCTATATGCGCCTAGTCAGCTATCGGACCCCCACGCCGATGAAGCCCGAAAAGATAAATTTTGGGACGATCTCCAAGAAATCCATCGCAATCTTCCTCGCCCTTCCTTGATTCTTTAAATGGGAGACCTTAACGCAAGAATTATTCCGACGGAATTGGAAGAATTTTCGGCACATATCGGTAAAGCAGTCTTCTTAAGCGACGCCCCTGCGGACGACACGTATACCACCAAATATTTTAAGCTGCTGGACTTTTTGGTACACAATGACTACTTGATCGCATCATCTTTTCACACGCGCCCGGCTTCCCAGATCGTTTCATATAGGGAGATCGCGTCCTCTCCGGAGGCATCTCCCACACAACCAGACAACACAGACTTCTCTTGCCTTGATCATGTGCTGGCGCCTATGACGTCACTGCACAACATCAAAGCCGCGGCCACCAGGACCAGTTGGACACTACCGTGGTTTCACCGCCACTACCCACTTTCATTCACGATCACCTTTGACAAGTTTCAAAAACCCCCTAAACCTCCGCCACCTAAAATCACGCCTCCTCG